TCTGAGGAATGGGAGGGGGAGTTGAAATGGTTCGCGACTGGGAGGTGCAGTTGTTTATTGCGAACCGAGCGTAGGTGTTCTGCAAAGCGGTCCCCGAGTCTCCGCTTGGTTTCCCCGATGTAGAGGAAGCCACACCGGGTACAGCGGATGCAGTATACCACATTGGCAGATGTGCAGGTGAACATCTGCTTGATGTGGAAAGTCTTCTTGGGGCCTGGGATGGGGGTGAGGGAGGAGGTATGGGGGCAGGTGTAGCACTTCCTGCGGTTGCAGGGAAAAGTGCCGGGTGTGGTGGAGCTGGAGGGGAGTGTGGAGCGGACAAGGGAGTCACAGAGAGAGAGTTGTCCCTCCGGAAAGCAGATAAGGGTGGGGAGGGAAAGATGTCTTTGGTGGTGGGGTCAGATTGCAGATGGCGGAAGTGTCGGAGGATGATGCGTTGGATCCGGAGGTTGGTGGGGTGGTACGTGAGGACGAGGGGGATTCTTTTTTGGTTTTTATTGCGTGGACGGGGTGTGAGGGATGAGGTGCGGGAGATGTGGGAGACACGGTTGAGGGCGTTCTCGACCACCGAGGAGGGGAAGTTACGGTCGTTGAAAAACGAGGACAACTGAGATGTACGGGAGTGGAATGCCTCATCCTGGGAGCAGATGCGGCGGAGGCGAAGGAATTGGGAATAGGGGATAGCATTTTTGCAGGAACCCTGCAGCCCAATGGTATCAATGTGGATTTCACAAGTTTCAAAATCTCCCCTCCCCCCACCACATCCCAAAACCAGTCCAGCTCGTCCCTGCCTCCCTAACCTGTTCTTCCTCCCACCTATCCCCTCCTCCCACCTCAAGCCGCACCTCCATCTCCTACCGACCAACCTCATCCCGCCCCCTTGACCTGTCCTTCCTCTCTGGACTGACCTATCCCCTTCCTAACTCCCTACCTACACTCACCTTTACTGGCTCCATCCCCGTCTCTTCGACCTGTTTGTTTCCTCTCCACCTATCCTCTCCTCTATCCCTCTTCTATCCGCCTCCCACTCTCTCCCTATTTATTTCAAAACCCCCTTCCCCTCCCCCTTTTCTGATGAAGGGTCTAGGCCCAAAACGTCAGCCTCTCTGCTCCTATGATGCTGCTTGGCCTGCTGTGTTCATCCAGCCCTGCACCTTGTTGTCTCGGATTCTCCAGCATCTGCAGTTCCTACTACCTCTGCATTAGATTACCACTCTTTGAAAAGGAAGATGCAATCCTTCAGGCCGTGACCAAACACAGTTTCTAAATGAAATAGTGATTGGTATATACTCTTTCAATTCTTTTTCATTGCACTCAATGTGGTCTGCGCTACAATGTGGAGACCAGATACAGTTTGAGTGATTGCATTGCAGAACACCTCCACTATTTACAAGCATGATCCTCAGCTTCCAGCCATCCAATGTTTCAGTTCTCTACCTTGCTCTCAGGATGATCTCTCTGTCCTTGACTTCCTGTAGATTTTCAGTTAAGTTTGGCACAAGCTTGAGGAGCAGCAGCTTCCTTTTAAATTAGACACTTTACAGCCTTCCGGACTCAGCGTTGAATTCAGCAGTTTTAGATCGTAACATCTGCCTCTATTTTGTTTCCTTTCTCTTCACACATTTTGTCCTTAATTTTACTACTTCCTTGTTTTTGCTTTCAGACAGCAGCTGCTCATCTTTCTGTCATTCGCACCTCCTCTGGAAGCGTCTTCTTCTATTTATTTGTCTGAATCTTAACTCCCTTTTGACTTGTTTTAATCTCTCCTATCTTCTACTTGTTACAGAATTTGTTTCTTTTTCTCTGCTTTTCCACTCTCGCTCCTTTTCTCTTGCTGAAAACATTTCTAACTGTTCCTAGTTCTGAAGACCCAAAATGTTAATTCAGTTTTTCTCTCCACAAATGCTGCCTGATCCATTACTGTGAGTATTTTTACCTGGTGTCGCAATGCTTATGTTAGCTTCCATAACTGAAGGTATTAGATGGGGGAAGCATGGTACTGAAGATGCCACAGACGTTTATGACAGCTCTTAATATATCCATGTGTTGTAGTCACAGGCTTCCTTGCCAGGGCTAATATCGAGCTGTTCAGTTACAAACAATGGCTTCCAACAGCATATCATGCTTCAAGTGAGCCCATTAAGATGGTGATGGAGACTTTTATGCCCTCTGTTCAGTTGAATTGATGTAGTCATGATATCTCAAGCTTATCTTGTAAAGATACAGTGCATACCTACTGTGGGACATATCACAACATTTCCCCCTTTTCTCAAAAGATTAAAAAAAAGACTCCAACAGATATACATGGTTGTATCTAAGCACAATTTAATCAATATAAAACAGATCGAACAGAGTTGACAAGACCAATTCAAACATCAGTATAATGCTCTGGGATTTTGACAACTCTTCCTCATCTGGTGACTGTACAGTTGTATGGAGAGGCATGCAAAATCTTTCACTCTGGCCTTCTGAGCATAAATTGTGATGGGAATGGTAATCCCTTCTCCATTGCATCGCTCCATTTTTGTGTAAACCCAATGTGAAAATCTTGCTTTGTTACTCAATATTTGAAGAGCATTGACTAGATAATGCAAATCACACACTCTGGCATCTTCTTCTACATCTGTTGTCTCATTGATGTTCAATATCATTCCAAATGTCCATCAACATGACCTTGACTCTTATATGACTGACAATGCTTCCTAGAGTGTTGTCTTTGCCTTCTGGCATTTGTAACTGATGTGGCAATGCTTCTGTTAGCTCCTGTAACATAAGAAGTAGACGAGGATAACAAGGTACAAAAAAATTCAACAGACATTCATTATAGCTCCTGATACATACATATATCACAGTTACAGATTCTTTCTGCCTGGACTAATACTGAGCTATTCAATTACAAATGGAGCCCCATTTCCATCAATGTGTCATGCTTCAAATGTCCCCAATTAAGACTGAATCTAAGATCTTTACAAATTCAGGTCACATACTATGATATATATAAATGTAGTGCTGATATCATAAGTGTGTCTCTTAACGGTGTACTTCATACTATCTGTGACACACACACAGCATTGCCTGGTATGCTAAATATTTCCAGCAATGTTTATTTTTATTATTTAAGTACGCTCCTTACCAGCTAATGAAGGAAACAACAGAAACAAAAAAAGAACAATCAGTAGAAGTTAATTT